TGGGTGGTGGGGGTGGGGAAGGGGTTCTTTGGGCATTTGACAATGATGAAAGTAATTGCACTCAGACTCGTTCTTCAACAAGCATTACTCTTATCACCACTGTAAATACAAATATGTACATGGAAGTTTGGTAAATGCAGATTGTCTATTTTTCAAGAGGCAGGCCAAGTTTGGTCTATTCGCACACTCTATTCACTACACCATCACCCACCCACGTGGGTGGGTGTGAGAAAATGGTCATGCATTACCCTTCAGGGTAAATAGAATTTCCCTATGCTATAAATGGGTGCAGTAAGGATAACCATATGTAGCACTGTCGTACTATTATGTGGTTAGTCATTCAGGGAGTCTTTACCATAATTTCTTTCAGTTTGTGTTCTTTGTTACTTGATTGTGTTATAGTTGACTATTTTCCAGATAGAAAATTTATTCTGACTAAGGTATATTGAATCACCTCAAAATTCAACAGCTTGTGTCTGAAGATGATACCTCATGGAAAATTTTCATTTGCGAAGATTTGGCTGATGGCAGCTCAGTTTGAAATACGCCAATTAAATATTGATCGTGCACGGCGAATTTTGGGATCAGCAATAGGCATGGCTCCCAAGGATAAGGTATTATGGAGTTTATTCATAGCTCTTCTTCAGTTGAACTTTTTTCCCATTTCTAATTCCAACTTAGCTCTAAATTGATTGTTTCCGAACAGATATTTAAGAAGTACATTGAGATAGAGCTGCAGCTTGGTAATATAGAACGGTGCAGAAAATTGTATGAGAAGTATTTAGAGTGGTCACCGGAGAACTGCTATGCATGGAGCAAGTATGCTGAGCTGGAAAGATCCTTGGCCGAGACTGAAAGAGCCAGAGCTCTTTTTGAGCTTGCAATTGACCAGCCTGCGTTGGACATGCCAGAGCTTTTGTGGAAGGTATCCAGGTCTTGCAAACACTTGGTTTGAGCTTGCTCTCATCATGCAAATTTGGTATTATGCTGTGTGAAATGTTATCAATTTTTTCATTCAACTGAAGTGCGAAGTAAAATTTGTTTGATTACTTCTTAGTTGGAAACATACATTTTATTGATTTCTGGTTGTCTTGTTTACTCATGTATAGTCATGCCTCTAGTGTAAATGCCATAGCATTATTATTTACTCAGATTAGTATTGTCATACTTTTCTTCTTCTTCCACGTGTATAGGGATGCAGCCTTTGCCAAGTAGGACTTCATTTATTTATATTAATATCTGGAGATTTTTCATTTCGTACCTCTGTTTCATCGATAGTCTAACTGTGTGGATTGATCTAATTTGTGGCAGGCGTATATTGATTTTGAAATATCTGAAGTTGAATATGAGAGAACTAGGGCACTTTATGAGAGGCTTTTGGACCGTACAAAACATTTGAAGGTGTGGATCAGTTATGCCAAGTTTGAGGCATCTGCTGCAGAAGAGGGCCTTCAAGAATCAGAGTTGTCCGAAAGTGATTATGAGCAGAAGAAAAAGTGTCTACAACTTGCCAGAGGTAAGAAAATAAAATCCGACAAATGTAACGTTCCTTGTCATTCTCTAGTGTGGTCTAATTTTATCGCCAGAGTAATATAACAATTTTCATTGTTTACCAGCTGTTTTTGAAAGAGCCCTGAGCTATTTCCGAAATTCTGCCCCTGAATTGAAAGAGGAAAGGGCCATGCTCTTGGAGGAGTGGTTGAACACGGAAAGCAGCTTTGGCGAGCTTGGTGATGTTGACTTGGTCAGAGTTAAGCTGCCGAGGAAACTTAAAAAGAGACGGCATATAGAAACTGAGGATGGTCCAGCTGGGTATGCATTCTTTTCCTATGGCCCTCTTTTCTTTGTTGTGCCTCAAAAAATAAAATTAAATATATAAAATCATGCTACCTTAACATGTCTATATTTCATTTGGCCTTCGGTGCCTGCAATTGTGATTCTCTCGTGTATGAGTTTGACCAAAATAAGAATTCAAGTGTTAGGCTGTGTTTGGTAAGCATATAAGCTTAGCTTATAGCTTATTTGATTAGCTTATAAGTTTCCTGTAGCTTGGTTTGATTTGGACGACCTTTTTGAAAAAGTCCGAGCTTATCTCATTAGCTTTTTTGGGCATTTGAACCCTTTCAAATAGGCCAATTGAAATTTTTACTTGCTAATTTTATCAAACACTTTTATCATATAAACTAGCTTTTCAGTCATAACTCACAAGTCATAAGCTAAGCTATCAGCTATAAGTTCGAAATTCACTTAAAAGCTATAAGCTAGCTTATCAGCTAAGTTTACCAAACATATCCTTAGTCTCATGCTCAAGTTTGTATTAATCCCTGATCGAAGGATATTTCTGCAAAATTCATCCCATTTCATGGATTTTCTTTTGTGTAGTTGATATTGGAGTTGTATTGATATTTTTGGTGTTCCCTTCTCAGAGCATGTGAAAACTCATTAACATTTTTAAAATTTCATTGCAATAACCTGCAGGTATGAGGACTATATTGATTATCTTTTCCCTGAAGAGACTCAGACTACAAACCTCAAAATCTTGGAAGCTGCATACAAGTGGAAGAAGCAGAAGATTGTTTCTTCTGATGATGATTAGCTTGGTACAAAGCTTTGTTATCTTTATTGGACTTTGTCGATATACAGTTGGGGATAATTTCTTTTCCTTTTCCTTTCGTTCTTTATTCTTCTCCATTTCGAGCTTTGACGTTAGACACGGACCCCTGAGTTTGTTGTACTATCATTCTGTATGAAGTAGCAGTTTTGGTTTGTGTTTTAGAAACTGGCTAATTCCTTTTTCCCTTTTATATTTATGTTATTACCCTAAGCATTGTGATTAGTGACACTGAGGAGGGTGTTCTATTTCATATTCTCACGAACCATGTTGCAACGGAAAAGACTCGACTGATGTGGCATGGATCGGAACTTGGAAATCACAGGTAATAGTTTGAGGGCGTGGATCCGAATAAAGCGAGTTTGTTTGGCTAATCAAAGTTAATTTTGAAAAAAAAAAAAATATTTGTAGTTGTTAGTTGAATTTTGAGTTTATATTAAAATAATATTTAAAATAACATAATTAATGTTGATTTGATGTAAAAGTAGGAGAAAGATAGATGTATACCAAAAACAAATGAAACAAAGAAAAAACAAAGAAAAACAAAAACAACACACTTAGCAAACAAATAGGGTAAAACATTCCTTAAACTTAGCCGTCAAACCACATGACCACCAAAATCGGTACACGAGTTGAGCTTTAAATAAGCTCGAGTTAGCTGGTTAAGCCTGAAACTAGAGCCTCAACAAGTTGAGCCGAATATAGTCAGACTCGTTTAATTTAACAACATTATATCATTTCAACATTATTTCATTATACATCCACTCACATAATTTTTGTTTTCTTTGTTTTTCGTTTTGTTAATCTAACTACGTCTTTGTTTTGGTTCATGTAGTGTCTGTTGACACCCCGATTGTAGTCTTTTGAGTTTTCAGTTATTAATATAGTTATTGTATAAAAAAAACAATCATATCCTATTGACAAATATATATACTTTTTTTACTCGAATGTTATAACGTAAATATGTATTTCTGGTATCACGTATGATGAGTCAACTCGTCTAACAATAAGATTAACTCACACAAAAATTTATAAATTTAGAACACAAACTATTGTTCGAGGCTTTTTGAACATTAAACGGGTCGACCTGTCATACTCTATGTCGAAAGACCACATATACTATCAAAGATAGTTTACATACCCGGCTCGATTCCGGATTAGTCGGTTCTCCTATGGATCCGGAAACCGGAAGGTCCCTGTACCAAAAAAAAA